CTCTTATATCAAAGCAGAACACCCACACACAAGGACTGTGCCCATTTAATAAAACTAGTTTCAACAATAAAACTAAAACAATTTAGTACGATTTTCTTGTGTAGACAAGACTTTACAGTATTCCTAGCAAATGTTTGCTTTTCTCCACCCTGAGCGGATGCAGCTAGGTTCATCAGACACAAGAGACCAAGAGTGGAGGTAGGTGAGTGATTGCCTTGTATGATGTTTCAGGATAAAAGCAGATAGGCCTTCGGGCCCGGCAGGTAGTGTCCCCCCTATATAGCATTGCACGCTTGGCTAGATGCAGGGGAATGTTGTTATTCTGGGATGAATTCTGTCCTGAATTACACCTGGTGCTACTTAGTGAGGATGCATCAGGTACAGTTGAAGACCTGTTGCTTTTTTGGATGAAGCATCAGTGCTTTTGTCCCCTTTTATAAATGGAGATGTCAAGAGGTCAGATGACTTGCCAAGGATACACAGCAAGTCACTGGTGGGGTTAGGACACGGAAACCCCAGGCTCCGAACGCCATGCACCCACCACTAAGCCCATGTGGTATCCCCACTGTCCAGGGAGGGGTTTCGTGTTGTTTTATTTATAAGACTTCTCTGTTGTGCTCATCTCTATGTGATCCGGGCAGCTCACAACATTAATGAATTTATCCTCTCAACGCTCCTGTGATGCCATTGGGGGAGGGGCAGGAGCACCGCAATAGTTGAAACTCAGTTAAAAGGTTGAAACGAATTTAACCAAGGATTTTTCCAAGTGCTCTAAAATCCACATGCTTGCCTGGATTGTTTTAAAAATTGCTATGCCCCACAGAGGTCTAAGATAGGGTTAGATGCCCAACTGAGGTCACTTGAGTAAGGGCTTCCGGATATACAGCCCCTTCCCCTAGAAAAATCCTGTGATGGGAAAATTGGTTCTTGCACACCTCTTTGCACATCCCCATGGCACAAACTGCGGCTCTGAGCCTCCCCAACTGACATCACCTGCTCAGGACAGATCTCAGCTCGTGTCTGGCCCCCACTGCCCTTTTGGAGACCCAATATTTGAAGAGGATTCAGGGCGGAAGTTGGATCCACAATGCGGCATGAGACAGTGAAAGTCATTTTTGCACATGCAGCAGGACTTGGGGCTTTGTTGAAAGCCACAGTATTTTCAGACAGCCTGTTGTCAGAGTATGTGGGTAGTTCTAGGTGACATGGGGAGGCCAAAGTGTAGTGGTAAAAAAGAAGTGGTAAACTCCATATTCCCCAAATGAGAAGGGGGTAAACTCTATTTCCCCATGTTTCCCTTCAACTGCACTATTGCAGTTAAGGACTGTGGTCAAGGGGTTTTTAGATAAGGTCCCACCCAAGAAGAAGCTGATCTTAATAATCAAAGAAATCCACAGCATAGGAAGATTGTTTTGAAAACTGTCTACCCTCGTGGGCTGGGGTAAAGTTTGTGATGCCAATTTTGAGTCTTTTGATCAAGGGGTTCCCAATATACAGCCCCCCCATATTGTTAATTTTTAAAATGCTCTAAAATCCAGGTGCATAAAGATAATCTTGAATACTGGTGTGCCACAAGGGCAGGGGAGCACTTCTTGGTGCAAATGTAGTCATTTCTTCAAGAGATTTGGCAGATACAGCCCCTTCCCCGCCCCTTATAGGGAGCTGATTTTAACACCCCAGTTGCTCTAAGACCCTTGTGCATAATGAGATTGTCTTGAAAACTGATATTTCACAACAGGGTCTCTGGGGTAGACTTTAGGAGAGAGGGAGGAGAACACTCATTGAGACAAACGGGTCAGTTCACACCTCTCAGATCTATTGTGCTCACCTCTAAGGCTACGATTTAGTCAGGGAGGTAATGACAGTATTGGATCTCCATGACTTCTTTGGCTTCAGCTGGGTTTGGCCATGGGGGCTGCAGCCGGGGCCGTGTGCCCCTGCCCCACGGCTTTCACCAGAGGCTGCAGCTGGGTCGTGCCATGCACCCCCGTCGTGGCTTCCGCAGGGGGCTGAAACCAGAGCCATGTGTCCCTGCCCCGCAGCTTGTACGGTTATTTTTAGTAAAAGTCACGGACAGGTCACAGGCTCTGTGAATTTTTGTTGCCCGTGACCTGTTCGTGACTTTTATGAAAAATAACCGTGACAAAATCTTAGCCTGACTCATCTCTAAGGGGTGTTCGCATTCCTCTGCAAACTTCTCATTGAGATGAGCAGGGTGCTGGATTCGGACAGTCCAATTGAGAGAGGACGCTGGCCTATGCTATAAAGGGAGTTTTGTAGCAGTCCAGTAGCCTATGGAAGCGCTCTCCAGGGCAGAGATAAATGCAGGAAAATAAAACAAACCCAAATGTTATTTTGAAGCCAATATCGTGACTTTTTTGGAGGAGTGAACTCATGATTTTTGAATACTCAGGGTTGGCAATGCTGATTACGGGTCTGCTTTTCAGGAGTGTTGAGAACTGCAAGTTCCATTGAATCCAATGGGAATTACAGAGCTTGGCATCTCTGAAAATCAGGCCAGTTGCTTTATTGCCTCTTTCTGAGGCATAAAATTTAAGTCTTCCTCATTGTAGAATCTAACTGAGTAATTTTTAATAATTGGATGACTGGTTGTGGGTAATAGTTACAAGAGAAGGAAGGCTGAGTATATGTAGAATAACCTTGCAAACTTCAGCTCAACCTCTGCAAGTAAATTTTTATCATATGGGCAAGTAGAAAATCTTTATTGTCGTTATCAGCATAATACAAATGTGTTAATATTTGTGCTTAAGACAGTAAATTCTACAAGACACCTAAATTCAGAGGGCCAAATTGTTACATTTGTGACAATTATTCTAGCATAGCCATTGCCATTATGTTTTCCTTGTGCTACTTTAATGTTTTATTTGGGTGCGTATGATAGTTTTGTCTCCTATATTTTTCATAATTGCCATACTGGATTAGACTAAGTCCATTTTTTCCTGTATCCTGTCTCTGACAGTAGTCAGGCTAAGATGCTTCAAAGGAAGGTATAAACATCCCCCTGTCCTGCATGGACTATTAAGCCCAGAGCCTATAACCAGATCCATTAGCAAGGCCTCTCCACGAGTGTGGAGTCCCATTGGTCAGTCTCAATGGGACTCCACAAGGTCTGAGCTAGAAGATTTGGTCACAGGATTGGGACCTAAGAGGGGAATGTAAATGTGTGTTTACCAGATTAACAGGAATAAATGTGGGTTTGGTTGTACAAGCAGATGCAGCCTCAAATACTGTGGTGGCAGTAAGAAGAAAAGGAGTACTTGTGGCACCTTAGAGACTAACCAATTTATTTGAGCATGAGCTTTTGTGAGCTACAGCTCACTTCATCGGATGCATACCGTGGAAACTGCAGAAGACATTATATACACACAGAGACCATGAAACAATACCTCCTCCCACCCCACTGTCCTGCTGGTAATAGCTTATCTAAAGTGATCATCAAGTTGGGAAATCTTCAAAAATGAGGTCCAATGGTTCACACTGTCAGTGTGTTTCTGATTACTAAATCCATGGCAAGATGGAAGTTTGGAGAGGACTAAAAGCACATTATGGGGAGGGGGAAGCATATACAATGCTTTTTATTTATTTGATTTCATTTTCAGATAACTGCAGAACTCTCTAAATGGAATGTCCTTGACTATTCCTTTCCCCACTCCCACAAGAAAACAAAATCATAATTGTGATGAGAACAGGCCTGAGAAATTTCAGTCCCGTAGGTCACATTTTTCAGAAACGTATCCTTTGAAAACAAGGCCTTACAATGAAAGTGCCTCCAAATACGGTTATAATAAACCGACTTATTAACTGGCATCTCTGCCTGGCTGTTTATATGACGAGCAGCATGGAAGCCTCCACTGGCATATGCATCCAGAGAGAAATCCCTTAACTACTTATTTTATACTGACATTCAAATGTTTCCCCTGGATTCATTTGTTTTCCAGTTGCTATATTTTATTTTGTACTGAAGAAATTGAATAATATTTTTGGCTATAATAATGTCTCGGTTTTTATATTGTTCTTTTTACCAATGTTTGCATTTGTTGATCCAATTCAGCATATATTTGATTGCTCTGTTTGTTACGATTTGGGAGTGTTCATATCTGATGCTCTTTAGAGTGTGTGTTTTTAACATCTACACTCTATTTTTTATTATTTGCATTTGTTGGATTATTGCATCTTTTTTATTTTGACAGGTTTCAGAGGAACAGCCGTGTTAGTCTGTATTCGCAAAAAGAAAAGGAGGACTTGTGGCACCTTAGAGACTAACCAATTTATTTGAGCATGAGCTTTCGTGAGCTACAGCAAATGTTGCAAATGTTGATGTATGATACATATATTGTGAAATGCATCAACCACAGCAAAACTGTAACATGATTTGTATTTGGATGCATTTCATGCCATTATGGCCTGCATTGGTTACATTCTGTTTTTATTGTGACTTGTATTGCTTGTTGCATGAGAACCGTGAGTGTGCTCTAGCCAATGCAAACCATAAAAAACAAGCAACCAAAAAAACAGTATAAAAATACAGTTCATATGACCTTGGTATTCAACTGCACGCATGTTTCCAGGAGATAAAAACGCATTATAGGGCTCTGAAAGAATCTGCACATTTCCAGTTGCACTTTTAAGGGCTCTTGTCGTTGTGCCTTTAGAGACTGAGAGGAGCAAAGCCAGGCGGAGAGGGGAAGCCTGGATTTTCACCAAGCAATGTCTGCCCTTAGGGAGACCCCCAGCCAACAAATCTTGGCAGATTTTTGCCGCAAGCCCCCCACAAACCAACCTAGACCTTGCCTCTCCTGGGGAAGGAGCATGTTTAAACGTCATACACACCCGCTGACCTGGGAATAACCCCCTACTGTTTCTCTCTTCTGCCCACTGGTCCAAGGGAGGAAGAGTGGGGGGAGACAGAAAGGAGGAGCCCGGGGGATGCTGGGACTTGTAGTCCTCAGGACTACCGCTGTCCTTTCCCATGCTGGGTGCAAAAACTGCCTTCCCCACATGGCCTTGCGCCTAGGCGCATGAGCTCTCCATAGCTTTAGCGCATCTATTATGCTGCCTTGCTGGGGATAAAAAGAAGAGCAACTGGAGGGACTATAAGGCAAACGTTGCTGGAGCTGCCGGGGCAAAGTAATCTATTTAATCTTACCCTTTATTCGTTCCATGCTTTGTTTTGCATTGCTAGCACCGGGCCATGTTTTCTGGAGGAGGGGGAAGTTGGGGGGGGGGGAGACGGTGAATGCAAAACCCACTTGGGAAAGGCTAATGCGCTCTTTTTTTTTTTTCTTTGGCAAGCCCTTTAACGCTCCCCTTGGTTCTGCAGCCTTTGTGCATTGCAACAATGTAACAAAGCCAGCTGGAGATCGGATACAGTGTGGCTGCTGATTTCTCTCTCTCTTTCTCTCTCTCTTTATATTCTTCTTCCCCTCCTCCTTCCTCTCACCCGGCGCCCAAAGCAGCCCCATAAGGAGCCCTGGGGGAGCTGAGACCCTCTCTGCCGATGCACCCTCCTCCCCCCCCCAAAAAAAGCATAGGCTGGAGTTTGTGCGGCCCTGGGAGGTTGCAGTCCATCTTCCTTACGGAAGGGATTTTTTCCTCTCTCTCTCTCTCTCTCCTTCTGCCCGCCATCTTTTGAAGGGGAAAATTAGGGGCGAGGAAAAAGGAGGGCTTCAGGCTTCATGTAAAATAATCATTAATAAAAGAGCACAGGTCCGTTCGTGGCTGAGGCCAAGCAAATGGGTTTACAGCTCTGCCAGTCCCCTGCAAGCAAATGGCTAGTCAGTTACAAGCCCCTAGTCAATTTCACAGGAGCACAAAGTATTCCCCCCCCACCCCTCCTCCTTGCGCGTCCCCTTTGCTATGCTCCGAGTTGCAAGGAGCCGGAGAGAAGGAGTTGGGGCCGTGGAAGTGTTTTCAAGGCGTGGAGTTAGTCTCTGCTGTCTGGTTTTCGCGCACCGAGCTCGAGGGTGCCCGGGTTGTGGGTCTGGCCAAGAAAGGGCAGCAAACTGCGATGTGTGTTTCTGGGAGAAAAGCTTCTAATGTTGAGTGATCTGCTCACAGCCATTTCCCCGCCCTGGTTTACTACCGTGCAAGGTAGGAGAGGGTCTGAAGCAGTGTGTCTCGATAATCGTATAAAATGCATGTAAACATTTGGGGTTGAACCAAACTCCTGCAAATAAATTAAAACAAAGGAAGTGAAGCGAGCTGTAGCTCACCAAAGCTTATGCTCAAATAAATTGGTTCGTCTCTAAGGTGCCACAAGTCCTCCTGTTCTTTTTGCGGATACAGACGAACACGGCTGCTACTCTGAAACCTGACAAAGGGATAGAAACCTGGGCTACAAATAATATTTTGTGTGAAATCCAAATAAAATATCGATCCCTGTGCTACTAACCGTGCCTCAGATAGGGGAAGGAGAGGAGTTAACCATGTAAAACTCTAACGTCACTCTTTGTCATTTATACTCTTTGTTTACTCTTTGCCCCAACTTGGAAAAGGGAGTGAGACCACTGTTTCCAGTCTAGTCAGTTTCACTTTCCGGCTTTCACACTATGCTGCAATGTTTGGGTTACAAACATCACAGTGGGAGTGTTTTAGCCTAAAGGAGAAGTCCTACAGAATATAAATCCGGAGTAAACGTAACAAGGTTCTTCAGGAAATGTAACATCCCTGTAGAAAGTACCCTTGCTATTATAATCCTTTCTATGGGTTTTCTTTTAACCATCCTGTACCAATTCTGCCACATGGATGTGTTTTTTCCATTAACAGCTATAGGAATGAAAGCAAAAAAGCAAGACCAACCTTTTAGTTTAGAAAAGAAATAACACTCTCATACACGGTGTGAAAGCTCTCTCTTTCTCTCTCTTTTTTAAATACAAACCTTAAAATTTCTGTTTAAGCCGCTCTGCATTATTAAATAGTAGTTAGGGGAAAGCACAATTAGCAAAGCGCACCTGGTGTCCCCTGCTGGGGAAGAGCTGGTTTTGACAGGCTAGTTAGTATTTTTAATGCACACAGAGTTATGCGAGTCGTGCTAAGGGGCTGTCTCCAAATTAAACTGGAAATGAAGATCAAAGGCTGTAACACTGTCCTTAGCTCACCCTGAAATATGTCAAGGTGTTAGATAGGACTTGGGTCACCTACCATATGTGCTGTAATATTTGGTTTCGTTGGGGGGTAGGGGGTAAAAGTGCCGAATAACAAAAGGTCAGACCAATAATTGACAAGCAGTTACAGGTTTGTATTGCTTTTATACAAGTAATACTTTGAAAAAAGGTGAACACACTGCATGTGCTAAATGCTCTCCTAATCTGAAGACCATAGAATTAGGAGACCAGGACTGCTTCAAGCGACATCTAATATATTTTGTTAGTTTAGAATTTTAGGGAGTTTCAAATAATACACCCACAAGGCTTTGCTGAATAGCATGACTTCCAGCCTAGATGCCTTCTTTTTCTAAAAGGGTTTAGTTCACAATCTCTTGTGTGTGACTAGAATAAGCCCCAAGATCGTATTTCTCTTTTCCTTGCCTCAGACAATTTAAAATAGGCATTCACGTATTTGGTGCTTTCAGACCATGCTTAATAAATGAGGTGGGCTGGGATGTGTGTGTGTATAACAATTGTACTCAATATCCAGTGTAAGCTTGATCACAATTCCATGTGCTATGCTGTATATACAGTATTCGATGCATAGATAGCAACTGTTCATACCAAAGACCCTTATCAGAAATGTTTGTTATACATGCAGGGTAAAATTTTCAAAGATGCTTAAATGATTTAGGAGTCTAAATCTTATTATCAAAAGTGACTTGGGCACTTAGGGGCTGAATCCCATTGACTTCCAATAAGATGTAGGCTACTAAGTCTTTTGTAATGGGACTTAGGTGACTTTCAAATTTTTACCTGCAGTCACTTTTTAAAACATCAGCTCAGACATTGTAAATTTATTTTTTCTTTTAATGTGCTGAGAGTTTAGTTTATATTGTAGGCGACAGTGTTCTTTCACATTTTATTTTTAAGTGAAGCTGGTTTTGTAAGAGAGTGTCTGAAAATGAAACCCATTTGAAACCACAGTTATGCTTTCCTGCACCGCTAAAACTTAACGGATAGACTGACATAAACCAAAATTTATGCAAATATGTGTTTGTCCTGGGCTGGAGACTTTGTATTACGCAGTGGCATCCCAGAATTATGTTTCCAACATAAGTCTCATCCCATAAAACTAGGGGACAATAACAGAGTTTCTTATAAACTTAAACCATGATCCCAGATCCTGTGATCTAGTCTGTCTGAGCAGAGCCCCTTGGCCTGCTCAGACCCATTGATGCCAATGTGATTTGCATGTGTTGAGTGCTTAGGATTGCACTGGCATGTGCAGCTTTAATACATGCATGTGTGAAATGATAGAGCTGAACATCTGTGATGTTCAGACCTTTTAAAAATGCACCTGTGGAGTAAGGGCTGGGCCGGGCTGGGCCCAATGACCATTGCAGAATGTGGCCAGGTCTACCCAACAAAGTTTTGCTGGCATAACTTGTGTCAGTTAAGAGTAGGGTGACTAGATATGAAGTGTGCAAAATGGGGACAGGGAGTCGTGGGAAATAGGCGGCTATCTTAGACAAAGCTCCAAATATTGGGACTGTCCCTATAAAATCAGGACATCTGGTCACCCTAGTTAAGAGTGTACAAAAAATCATAACCGTAACTGGCATAGCTAGGTCAGTAACCCACCCCACCCCACCCCCCCGCCCACACACACACACACACACACGGTGTATATTCAGTTTGTGCTGGCAAAAGATCTAAGCTGCGTCTCCATTAGGGAGGATAGCTAGACCAGCAAAGCCTTTGTAGTATAGTCTAGGCCTTAGAATCTCACTCTTCTCACTTGAGAATCTGTAAGCCTGATAGTTCTCACTGGCAGCACAAACGCCCCAATAGTCTAACCAGTGGTACTGGAACCTTTTTAATAGTGGGGGTGCTGAAAGCCAGCCTCCTTACCTCTGTTCACGTCCCCCCCTCTTTCTCCCCTGCAGCTGGGGCCGGGAGCAGTGCTGTGTCTCCGGGAGGGGCGTCCCCAGATAGGGGTACAGGGGCAAAGACTGGGGGTGGGCACAGGGCCAGGAGCGGAGCCCCGATGCGGGGCCCACAGTCAGGAGCCCTCGTGCGGGGCCAGTAGCAGAGCCCCGGCCGTGGGGCTAGCAGCAGGGGGCTGGGTGTGGGGCACGGGGCCAGTGGCCAGGGAGCAGGGCCAGTGCCCCAAGAGCAGAGCCCCGGGCGCGGGACCGAAAGTGGGGCCCCAGGCACAGGGCCAACAGCTAGGGAGCGGGGCTGGCAGCTGGAACCCAGGCCACTGGCCCTGCACAAAACCTGGGGGTGATGCAGCACCCCTAGTTCCCATGCCTGTGAGTCTAACCCCTCTTCTCAGCAACAGCTGAGTGATATAAAGAGGGCTCACATTTCAAAGACTTAGGCCTGGTCTACACTTAAAAATTAGATCGACCTAGCCTTGTTGCCTTAGGGCTGTGAAAAATTTTGAGCCATGAGTCCCGTAGTTAGGTCGACCTAACGTCCAGCATAGACCCAGCTAGGTCCGTGGAATAGTCTTCCATCAACCTAGCTACCGCCTCTTGGAGAGGTGGGTTAACTACTTCAACAGAAAATCCCCTTCGGTCAATATAGGAAGTGTCTACACTGTGGTGGTAGATACTGCTGTTCTGTATCTGTGCCACTGTGGTATAAACATACCCGTGTTACTTTCACAAAATATATCACTCTCCACCTACCTTGGTAAACGACCAATTACTAAACATCCGGACTAATCTACACTTGTTTAAATAAATGAACAAAGAACATTTTGCAGCTCAGCATCCTTGATTGTTCTTTAATACCACTTATTCTCCTCTTTGCTTATTTGCAAAATTCATTAATCCACAGTGGTCTCCCAGTCATTAGCATGAGCCCTATGTTTTGTTTTGTTTTTAAAGTACTGCATTCTTCTGCAGTAATAACCCAGGACACGATTGTAAACAGCAGAGTTCTGGGAATTAGCAAGGTGCACCTTACCCCTTGTCTGGCACTGTGTGTGCGGATAACACTAAGCTTGGGGGAGAGCTAGATACACTGAAG